AGTGAATAAGAGGAAGCCAAGTCTGACATTCATTGTAAAATAGGCTGGAAGATGTAAGAACTGTGCCTCTCTCACCTACCATACTCGGTATTCCCATCTTGCCATGTTTACACTCTCAGGTCTACAAGGGAACCTAATGCAGCAGTCTATATGTGAATAAATGCTCTCTACAAAATGCCTGCCAGGTGGCCATTAGACACTGATTGAACACTTCAGTTATTAAGGAACCTGGTGCTTTTAAATCATTCCCTTTCATTTTGAAATAATTCATTGTTATCTTCAGGTTGAGCTCTATCTTTCTCCTGCTTCCACCCCTTGACCATGGAGAATAGTCCCATTTCCTCATATGTGCTATGAAATTAGATGCCCCTTCTGCTGCTTTATGTGGGTAGATCTGTGAGATACTAGCCTTATTTTGTTGTGTTTAGAATAGGGTGACCTGTTGAAACAGGATGATGCCGTACTGCTCTGGCAAGTGAGTTAAAGCTACACAAATAAAGGCAGAACCTTCCAGTACCATTTATATTCACCTACGAAGAGGTAGGTCCTCACACAAGAAATAGACAGATTACTTCTCTGGGCCTTGCTTTCTAGGTTTAGAAAGAATCTGTAAATGCTTAATGGTGTTGCCAGGCAGTAGAAGTAAGATGGATTGGTATGAAACAGTGATTCTCAAATTAGGGAGAGAGGACTCTTCAAAGGACAAACCCCTATTCCCAACTTCTAACCTGCTGCCCTGGAAGAGCCTGCTCAGTGAAAAATAAAAGCTAGTATTGAAGTGAATATTTTATGTAATAAATTGTGTCTCGCATATGTGAAAAGAGCCTGAAACCAATGTGAAAAGAGCCTGGAAACCAATGTGAAGGAGACTGGTAAGGTTATTTATATGAATAACCACTGTATCTCCATATAAGTTATCTTGTCATGTATTACTCTCTGAATTTCTGTCCTCATTTGGTCCACAACCTTTAGGAGAATTTCTCTTTCATTTTCCTGCCTAGTTTCAACTATACTGTGAGAAATTAAGGGAAGGGTCACATGGCCACATTTAGACTGTGTTCAGGGAACAGTGCCTCATAAAGCCCATGTGTTACTGGCACTACATTCAGGGAGAGATTCCCCAACTAGGAGGTAGAATCTCAGGGAATAAGAATCAAGGTAAGAGTCAAGCCATGTTTTCCTATGTGAAGAATTTCCCTCCACTGCCACTCTTGCTTTAGGATCTGATCTTTTAAGGGAGCAGACAGTGCTACCCCAAAAGTATTTGAAGTCATGTATCAGACTTCTTTTCTCCTCTGTATAATACCTGCACTTCTTAACAATCTCCTCTTCAAGAAAACCATCATAAGTTGTTACAAAACTTTTTTTAATTGCAAGATATCCCTATTATTTACAGTGATCCATTTCTTTAGGACACACCCTAATCTGACAGCCGGAAGTTTTACGTGTTTCATATACGGAGCTTCTGGACCACGGTGTATTTTGATAGAAACATCAGAAGTATAAGAACATTAATCTGAGACTAATTGGACCCTGTTTGTTGGCCACTTCAGTAGGGCTTAGGGTTGAGCCAGCTAAAGTGACATTTCCGTTCGGGCTTCCCTTGAACACTTGCTGTTTCTCCAGTGCACTATGTGCTCCTCCGCCTCCAGAGGCCCGGCTGGGTCCTCCGCCTGCAGCGTTGTCCCATCACTTGCTCCAGTGACAGTCCACTCACCTTTCAATGCCACATTCTCTCTGAACACTACCCTTCCAGCTTTCCTGGAAGCACCTTTTCCAAGGCACCCACTTGTTTGAGCTTCTTCTACTCCAGCAGTTCTCACATGGCTTTATAGCTCTTGGGTTTATATCTGCTTCCAATTAAATTTATTGAAGATAAGTATTTTCATTTTTTTATGTATCTAAAATCAGTATAGTCAGGACCTGCTACTTAAAGGTGTTGAATAAATATTTGTTGAATGGGCAAATGAATTGATGAATATTTTTCATTATTGAATATTTTGTCTTAACCTGAAGTTGGAAAAATGTGTTAGCTGCTATTTGTGATGCTTCATTTACATATAGATGTTATTTGATATTTTGAGTTGAATAAGAATGATTCTGTGATTTATTTAAAATAATTATGTACATAGGAGTGTATAGAATATAGGCCAGAAAAGACTTATCTGTTAGTTTTTTGTTTTGAACTCTGTTTTTTATTTTGTGGATTATACCATTAGCTTGCAGCATGTAGTTTGGTTTAACTTGTCATCCGAGTGTCATTTAGCCCAGGTTTCTGGAAAAACTAAGGGAATTCAAAAGTCAAAAATGTAGTATAAAGTTCTTTTATCTTTCATGCATTCTGGGATAAGTTCATCAAGGTTCCTAACTCTGATAACTTTATTCTTGAAATACTAGCATCCCTGCCTCTTGTAGAAGAGTTTGCATGTTAATCAAGATGCTCTGCAAAATGTCATGTGGTAAAATATTTAGTAAACATCATCTGGTAATCTAAGGAGTAATAATAACTATCTCAGCCACTGGTCATAGATGAGATATATTTGTTTTCTTTGAATTCATTTAATGTTAGCCAATATATAATACTTGCTGTGTGCAAAATAATTCATTTTACAAATAACTTAACTACTTTGTGCACCTACCATATGCCAGACAGCCTTGGACCTCAGTGCACTTGTAGGCCATTAGGGAGATTAGACGTATGCATGTCTAATGTGAGTTCTACAAGAAAGTTCCTGAATCTGGTTGGGAGAGAAGGAAAGACACCTTCAGCAAGTAGCATTTGATCTGGATAAAATTGCAGTAGGCAGATTGAACCTTCTCCGATTACAGGAGGCCGAGATGTTCTCTCTCGCAAGCCATCTCAGGGGATAAGCTTACTGTGTGGCTCCAGAGGAAGTAGGAAGGTCAGGACAGCAGTGCTGGCAGCCACCCAGGCAGGCCTCTCGGAGAACTGGGCCTCTGTAGCATGGGAGCCCTTGTTTGGTCTGTCCAGATGTGACTACCTGTTGTCCCTTCTCCAGTGACCTGCACTTGGTCACTCAGCTTTCCTCTGGTCATGCCTCCATAGCAAGGGGAAGAGAGTGTGTGTGTGTCCCCACATCCCTCAGGAGAGGAAGTTTGTCTCGGTGAGTCTCCATAGACCTTGAGCCACCTGCTGCATAAAGCTCACACCAGCCACCGCAGAGGCTGCTTGCCAGCCAGGCGATGCATGTTTATCGCAGGGACTCATCCCTGGTGTAACCAGCTGTGGCCAGGGAAGTGGGGGTCCCAGGATAGAGAGCACCTGGGAACCTTGTGAAAATACAGACTTCGTTTCAGTAGGGCTGGGGTGTGACATGAGTTCTATGCTTCCAGCAAGCTCCCAGGCAATGATGATATTGTTGCTCCTCCAACCACACTGAGCAGCCAGGATACAAGATGGTGATCTCTGTGCGAATATACTTTCTCCGCAAGCAGGCACTCTGTGCGGGCATTTGTAGTTATGAGGTGGCATTTAATGCAGAGGAACAAGTATAAGTTGAAAAGAGGAGGAAGATGTGGTGATGCTGTCTGTATGTGTTTTATGTAAGGCCGATTTTAAATACGGTAAGGTCAGAATGAATAAAGCACCTTCAGACAAAAAAAAGTCAGTACTGAAACAATTCAGGGGTAGTGTCTGAATAACAGGTCACTGGACTTGGTTGGCTGTTAGTCCTTTTATTATTTTAATCCACAGCAAAGCGATAGTTACCAGTGAGAGACAGGAGTATCATGCAAGTAATCAAGTGTTGACAGGCATTTGGGCTGAGATCTAGATGTTGGAAGTCAACCATGTAAACAGTGAGGGAAGAGTCTCCCATAGAGAAATCAGCAAGTAAATCCATCCAGAAAACTTCAGATTTAACTTTTACAAGATAGGGATCTGCTGACTTTTACAAGATAGGGTCTGAATTTAAATTACACCTTCACTTGAGAGCTTGCTGAAAAACCTTTCCACAGTTTGCCGCCAAGTCTGTGGTATTGGTAAGGCTTGGCAGTAGGCTCTCAGTAAGGCTTAGCCATTCATTATGGGAGATTAGGAGCCAGAGGCCCTGATATGGACACCAAGTATCAGGTTCTTTATCACCCCAATACCTTAGGAGAATCACACATTTCTAATTGTCTGCATTAGATGTGATAGCTCAGCACTTGGTCAGAGATCCTTGAGTCAGAGATCCTTGGGGTATGTGTGAGAAATAGAATTTATTGGAATTCTATTATAAACATACAAAATAAAGAAAGACAAATCAAATGACAAATATTCTATGTCAAGTGAAAGACAAATATTTTCAACAAATGTACACATAGCTCCACATAGTGAAAATACAAAGACATCTTTCTGATAGTTTGCTGGGTATAGGCCACAGGCCCAGCATGCTGGTATATTTCTAACAGGATTCTTTGTGTTATTTTTGTGATTAATCTCCCTTGGATTAATACAAATCAGGAGTATCCATCTTTTTAGATGATGCTTGATAGCCAATACTGGCATAGCTGTTTGTTTACCAGTGTGGTTTTCATCTGAAGAAGCATTTCATTGAAGAAGTGGCTTTCGTTTTATAAAGTGAATGAAGCCATTGGTCAAAAGAGCAATGAAATGCCTGGGACATTGGCTGTCCAACAGAAAAGTGGATTTAAGGGCAGCAGCCTGCATGTGAGGCTTGGGGGCACGGTGAACCTTTGGGTTTTTCACTGTACTTCAAGCTGATGTTCATAAGGCCAAACTTATTGCCAGAATATCTCAAGTGTTAATTACAGTATAGTTTACAAAAAGCCAAATCATCCATGCCAAAGCAATTCTTTCCTCCTTTAGTAATAGAATAGTCATGTCTTACTGTAGTTTATGTACTGTAGAGGGGGAGATCCTTTAAACCTGGACAAATTATAACCTTTTAGCTAATTTCCCCAAGAATCACCATTCTTATACTTTTGGGCACTTCCAGTGTATCTACTAGTACTTAATATTACTTTTCTTTATACAGATCCAGTGTCCCACTTGCCAATTCGTCTGGTGTTTCAAGTGCCACTCTCCTTGGCATGAAGGTGTTAACTGCAAGGAGTACAAAAAAGGAGACAAATTGTTGCGTCACTGGGCCAGCGAAATTGAGCACGGGCAACGGAATGCCCAGAAGTGTCCAAAGTGCAAGGTGAGATAACCTTAGGAGGAAAGGAAAGAAGTGTGTGCATCTGGATCTCACTGGACACTAATATTTATGATGTTGACGTGAATTATTTGTATAACTTTATTAATGCTGGTGTGGAGAAAAAGAATATTTGCTCCTTCATTTAGAAGAGTAATTATATTACATAACTCAATTGAAAAGTCTATATATAAACAATGTATATTATTATTTGTATTACATTTTGGAATTTAAGGAGGCTACATGTAAATATTGGTCTTAAACTTCAAAATTCTTATCTTCCATTTAAAAATGTAGATGCATATACAGGGAAAAGCTAGTATGAAAATGATGTAAAACCATTCTTTTCTAGTTTGCCACATGTGCTATAATCACTTCTCAATGAGGCAGGCTCTGAATCTTTATAAGCCTTTGCTTTGCTTTCCCTCGGCATTGCTTATCACTTTAGGATTACATTAAATTGATCATTTGCTTTGTGTAAATCAGGCAAAGTAGAAGCTAGTAGTTAAAATCAGAACTTAGGGATTTTATGAATCCCATTTTTTTTTCATTTTTCTCTAGAGTATCATGCAAGTAATCAAGTGTTGACAGGCATCTGAGCTGAGATCTAGATGTTGGAAGTCAACCATGTAAACAGTGAGGGAAGAGTCTCCTTAGAGAAATCAGCAAGTAAATCCATCCAGAAAACTTCAGATTTGACTTTTACAAGATAGGGGTCTGCTGAAGTTTTAAACTTTTCTTTAAAGCTCATTTTAGAAAATTGTTTATGTGATATGTATACTCTACCATACGTAGTTTCCACTTTTGCCCAAATTTCTTTTTAGAAATCATATCTAAGGTGTGCCTAATTTTATTTTAAGAGAAATTCTGCAATTCCTTCCCAGAGACTTAACACCAGATAAATGAAATTTGAATTATCCAAAAAAATTTTTATTAATTAGTTGTTGTAAATTGAATTTGAAGGTACAAGTATATTCTGAAACCTGTTAATGAACATGAATAAAATGCATAGATTCACTATACCAAGTTCACATACCATTTTATATGTATAGTAAGTAAAAGTGTTGCCTAAAATAACATTTTGCATTCTTAGCAAATGGAAGAAATTTGTGAAATAATATAGATGACCTGGTTCTCTTAAAAGTGATGTGCAAAGGTGTTTGAGCTAAAGCTTTCTTCATTTTTCTTGTGGAAGGCAAATTCATCCACAGTCACCATTTTGATTATAGAGCTGTTTCAGATCACTGCTCAGAACACTTTCCATCCATCAATGAACAATGAGAAAATGAGGCCTTTACCTCTTTCTTTTGCGTTTTCAGTTTATTGAAAGCTACTGCTCAGTTTCAAAGTAAATAAAGGCCAGTAGGAATTTGGGAGTGCTGTTAAGTCATTCTATTTAACACTTTGTTCATAAGTATATTTTATATATCTCCCTGGAAAGCTGTAAGAACAATTACCAGTTAGCCTGGCTCTAAGACTGTATGCTGAAAGAACAATACTACAGCATTATATACTGGGGAAATACTGAATCAATTGAGGTACTACATAAAAACATGCAATCATTACTGTAATCCCTCAATCTGACATTAAAGGGATTCTAACACATGGAAAGAAAAAGCAGCCAACTGTAAGGAATTTACTGAATGCACTAACAACTTCCCCCAGTTTTAACAAATACAGATAAACAGTTAAGAGAAAGCATACATACTGGTTGCTTTGTAAAGTAATAGCTAAAAGGTTGGAGATTTAAAAGGAATTACCTTTTAAGTAGCTGAAAGGAAAGGAGTCAAGGAGCCATTTAATCAGTTTACAGGACTACCATGCAGCAGAAAATCTACTTTCTGGCGAGATTCAGGTTCCATAAAATTTATGTCAACTGAAGTCATATTTTATGACTTATTTTAAATAGAGTGATTTCAGTTTTCTTTTTCATTTAAGCTTGTGGCTTTAAAGCTATGCATTTTCTGAACTGTGTTTTTCTTTTTGGACCTTAAAATTATATTTTCCCACATGAAACATTTCTATTTTTATAATCGAAATCCATCAATTACTTGATGATATACTATTTATTTTATACTCCAAGGCTTTATTTTCAATAAATAATCAATTAAAATTTATAAATATAAAAAAGGAAGATGCTAGGAGCTTGTGACAAAAAATTTCACACCGTGCTTCCAGGTGAACAATGCAAATATATATTTGCTTGTGAATATTTTCAATGATCATAATCAAATGCATTTAAAATTTTGTTATAACCAAAGTATACTTTTATTTTTGTACCCTGGGTAGGTACATTTGTTTGGATTGATTCATAATTTAAATAATTATTTGCTTTGTTTATATAGGTCACATAACATATGGTAGAAATTTGGAAAAGGTGTGGGGAGGTGGAAATTCATCCAGATTCCTGCTGTTCCAATATAGTCACTATTACCATGTCAGTGTGGTCTCCTCTGTCTGTCCCCTATTAAAGTAACTTTTTTTTTAAGTTCTAATTGTAGTATGCAGATAATATGCTATCCTTTCTTTTTCCACTTAACATGACATAGTTTTTAGAACATTTATTTTATTTTAATACCCACTTTTCCCAGTTCCTGGAGGGTTCCTCCAATTTCTTTATGCCCTCCAGGCAATATGTATTGTTTGGTATTAGTTGCCTGCCAACTCAGCACATGCAAAGCTGTGGGCAGGTGCCTAGCATGTCCCCTCAGAACTGCCTTCACCACATGTGTCCTCAGTCTGAACTCACCTGCAGTTCTGTAACCATAGACTGTGTGTTTGCAAGACTTCCTGCTGGAGAGCGAGCCAACCTCACCTGAACCCACACAGGAAGATGACTAGGGGACACGGTTAGAGATAGAGATTCACAAAATATATTCACAAAATATATTCACAAAATATATTCAGGGATGGGAGAGTTGTACACAGTATGTACCTTTGTGGGTAGACACCTGTCTTACCAATGGGTTTCAGCACGGGACAAGTTCTCTATGGATTCAGTGTGACCAAGAAAATGACAGCAAACGTTCTTTGGGGTGAAAGGATTTATTACCGGGCTTGTTCTCCTGGAGGTAGGTCAAGCGCTAGAGTCTCTGCCTCTGCCCAGAGTACTGGGCCAGCTCTCTATATAGCTCAATAATAGCTTATTGCCTACAGGTGTGGAAGCGGTATCCTAGCAACAGGACAGTTACATCATCAGGTGGTTTAAGTTCAGTGAGGATCCTGGCCATAGGAACCCCAACTTCCCCACAACACCCTATTCCCAAAGGGATTTAGGTTTGTTTCACTCTGATAGCCTTACCCCTGTATCCATCTATAATAGCGGAGTCTTGGGAAATGGCTCAAGGTTACCATAAATCAGTGAACATTCAGCCCCTGTGTCCACCAGAGCCAGAACACATTGTACATTCACAGGGGACCACTGGATAGGTATTTCAACATGTGGCCTTTCCCCTCAACCAAACCGTGTCCCCTAGTCATCTTCCTGTGTGGGTTCAGGTGAGGTTGGCTCGCTCTCCAGCAGGAAGTCTTGCAAACACACAGTCCGATCTTGTGCCTCTGTCTCTGGCCTCTGCCTCTTCGTTCTCAGTGGATGGAATTTCTGCTCTGGTTTCAGTATTGCCATAGCTCCAGTAAGATTCTATTTGACTTCCCATCTAATTTCCTTCTGTCTGCTCCTGCTCCTATTAAATCAATCCATATCTAGGTGCTTTTAACCTTCACAGGACCCTTTAAATTCTTCCTCTGAGTAGCAGACGTCATTTCTTTTTGTGCTTTCATTGATTAAGCCTCTCCCAAGTCTGCTACCATATTGGTAACCTCACTTGTGGGCCACTGTAAGTGAGGGGCAAGAATAGCCACTAGAGACCCAAAGAGGGATGTGGGAGCCATTTGAAGCATAGCATTTCTCATCTCTGCAGTAAAAGGCTCCTCATCTGTGCCAATATTCTCTGTACTATAGATGGCTTTTTTCATGCCTAGCTCCTGTAACACCTATTAGAGCTCAGCATACTTCTGCCATCTATCAGGGGAGGATGGTAAATCACCCTGATTGGGCAACACAGCATGAAGTGCAGCCATAAGCCAATTGAGGAAGGAGTGATTTCCTGAGGTCTGATGTGCATATTGTAATCTCTGCCTCAAGGCAGGCTGAACTGTCAGGGAAAATAGCTTTCCCATCTCTGATCCAGACAAAACAATTCCATCCCCTCCTATATTCCACAGATGCAGGAGCCAAGCTGATATTAACTCTGACAGCTTCTGCCTAAAATGGGAGCCCAAATTTACCAGCTCAGCCTGAGTATAGGGGTGGAGCATCGAATGCTCCACAACCTGCAGAGGGGGCTGCATCTCTCCTGGGAGAACCCTCAGTTGCTGTGTCTTTATTTTTTTTACAATCACCGGGTGTACTTTCAATAGAGGAGGGGTCAGTACCCCCAGCACCACCCCCTCATCCTTCCCCAGCTCCTTCACTTCTGGGGCTGATGGTACCTTTCTCTTCACCCTCCCATAAGGGCAGTCTGTTCTGTTCCTTGGTCAACAATGAATCCTCCCAACATCACCAATTGTCTTGCCAATGGTTTTCAGCTCAGGCAAGTTCATTATGGATTCAGTGATATCGAGGAATGATAAGGAATGTTCTTGGGTAAAAGAGCATATTACCTGGCTTTATTCTACTGGTGATAGATTGAACACTAGAATTACATCTGCATCCAACAGTCTGCAGGTCTGTAATCCTCCTTCGTCTCTCCCTCCATCCAGAGCACCAGGCAGAGCTCTTTATGTAGGACTCGGTCAGTAATAGCTGATTGCCTCGGTTGTGGCAGCAGTAGCCTAGCAGTAGGCCAATTACATCAAGTAGTTTAAGTTCAGGTGAGGATCCTGGCCATAGGAACTTCAAGGTTCCCCACAGGGTCTTTTCACTACACACCAAATCTTGCTGCTGCTAAGTTTTCAAGAAAACTAAGTGCTCATATTGGTGAGCATTCAATGACTGTGCTTTTGTA